TACATACATACATACATTCATTACATTACACTACGTTACGTTACGTTACATTACGTTACATTACATTACAATACATTACATCACATCACATACATACATACATACATACATTACATACATTGCATACATAATCATACATACATACATACATACATTACATACATTACAGTTGAAAGCTAAAACCTTGGTCTATCTCCTGGTCGGCCGATTCGAAACGCGAACGATCGTATCGATCGCGTCAGCAGCCCATTTCCCAAAGTCTTGAGCCAAACGTTGTTGGCAAGATGTCTTTCAGTTCACAACGGCAATGCTACTTCAGCATACCGATTCCAGACTATGCAATTCTTTACATGGTAATTCCATACTTGGACAAGGTGGTCCAAAACAGTTACATGACGTGAGTCAGCCATGCATCTAGACTCCTCAAACTATACATGTAAGCATGCAAGCCTCACTCAACGCTCAGTTCATCTTGGGGTTGTTTTAGCAGAGGGATTTCATCTCCCCCCTCTGACTCCTGAGCTGCTCGACGGCTTGGGATCAGTTCTGAATCCCGGCTATCCAGCTGTATCAGAAAGACTCTGTGGCACACTGTATGGAGGTATTCTCTTCGGCTTGTGTTTCTGCCGTTTCTTGTACCCTGGCTGGGTAGGGCCTGTCGTGCCCTGAGGTCCTGTCGCTACATCTGTCGTTGGTGCATCTGGCTGCAAGGCCATTTGCTTGTCCAATTTCAGGCCAGTGCCTGATGTGTGTTTGATGGTGTAACCATCGAGGTGCACTCCAAGGTTTTGGAGGGTTTTGGGCCATAATGCAGGCTCGACTGCTTTCGTGAAAGCATCGGCTTTCTGGTCGCTAGTTCCAACAAGGCTCAGTTCCACGTCTTCGCGGTCCAACTGTTCCTTCACCGAGGCCAGACTCACGCGATGTACGCGTTTGAGATGTCTCAGCTTCTTGGAGTATCCAGCTGTTACGACCTTCGCGCGTGCAGTGTTATCTTCGCGAAGCCTCAACAACACAGGACGCCCGAGCATCGCGGAATACAACTCAACCAATGGCAAACCCTCTTCAGCGACAGTTTCTGCCTCCGTCGTGCTTCGGCACGTAGCCGTCTGTTTCTTTGACAGCCATGCCAACGGAAACGACGTCCGCGGGCCAGACAACTGTAGCCATCCACCAGTGGTACTGTGGGTGTGTTCATCATCTCCGCAGTAGTCTGCGTCTGCGAAAAGTTCAACAAACACATGCTCCGGCGCATCACGCACATGCCCAAGCAACATAGCGTTCTTGGTGCACTCGAGGTAGCACATGGCATGGTAGAAGTACGCATCGCAAGCTTGCGTCCAGGACTGTACCATGGTCGCCAACCAGGTCACAACTCTCAGCAGGTCGGGACGAGCAAGGCGTGCCAACCACATGAGTCTCATCAAAATGCTACTGGCAGAAGCTGCCAGAGCACCACGCTCATCTGCTCCAACGAACCCTTTGCTGAGAAATGGTGATGCAACGACTTTCATCTTTGGGCTGTTTGCAACCCTCAAGTACTCTTGAACAGTAGCCTCAGCGTATGCACGCATGTCAAAGCCAAAGAACTCCGTGTTATCAACTTCGACAGTGGAGTGGTGTCGACCAAGAAAGCGACCCAACGGTCCAATGTCATCAATCAACACCTTCTCACCCAACGCCTCCCAGAAAGGCTCGTGCCACTGACTTGGTCCTGAGAGAATCAAGTCGTCCACGTAGACAACCAATGCCAATCCTCCGAACATAGGGATGGTGAAGGTGGATGCAAACCTTGATTGCTCCTAAGAGACACAACTGTTCTTCAAGGAACTGTTGCCAATGGGCCCCAGCCTCTGGGTGTCCGTACAGCGACTTGCGCAATCTAATGATTGGCCTTTTGAAGCGAGGGTAGCCACTTGGGGTGAACCAAGATTCAGGCCATAACTCTCTCGGGAGACGAATGTACGTGGCAGCCAAGCTTTTTTCAGCTCCGATTCGAGGTACGCCTTCACGGCGTCTGCCGACGACAACTTGTGTCCCTCAAAAAGACCAAAAGAAATAACGCTATTGGCTGCAACGATTGATGCGGGAGACGCAGCTAGTGTCTGGTAGAGCGCCAGCTTCCCTTCAGCCGTCTTTGCAGAATCGCCACGGTAACACACGCGACCCTTCAGAGCGCGCAGCTCTGGGGCCAACTCAACATGCTTCTCGCTGCAAATGGCAAGCAAGTCTACAATGTGGATGGTTTCTCCACTCTGCAATGCAGCCTCCTTCACGCGGAACTCCTCATCAACCGACTCAAGCTCCCATGTTCCCATGGTTCCGTGTGAGCTGTCTTGTCACTAGGGCATATACCCCAGCTGCAACATCTTCCGGTGGGACATATCCCTCGGGAAGTTCATCAGGAGAGTATTCCGGACCCTCGGTTGGCTCCGGCTCAACCCAATGTTTCCTTTCTGCTGCTCCTGTGGAAGGGGATGAAGAGGAAGCTTTCTCTGAACTCTTAGGCATAGGAAGCGGTCCAGGTGTCTTTGGTGCTCCGACATCTGGCGCCGGTGTGGGCGGCGCTGCAGCTTCTCTAGGGAAGATGGCATCAAATCGCTCGCGACATGCCTTGTTGTGGCGGTAGTGGCCACCATCACATCCAGGGCAACCCTTCGTACAACCATGCTCCAACAAACGTGAAAAAGTAATGTATGCATGACGTGGGGGTGCAACTGGGGTGTCTTCCGGAAAAGCATCTATATCAATGTCATATGGGAGCACGCCCGACTCAAGAGATCTGTCATAGATCTTCTTCTTCACCTCAGTTTCAGGGTCAGACATGTCCTTCAACGCTTTCATTGCCGCGTTGGACAAGGGAAACTCAATGTGTTCAACAGGAGGGAAAACACCTCCTTCTCATGCAGGTCCTTGGGGCTCCAATGCAAATGCGCTCTTGTACGTACAGCTTCATAGTCAACAACTTGCACGACATTGCGATATCGCAAGCCCGAGTCAACCCGCCAACCTGCAAACAAGCCTGGTCTTGTAGTTGGAGCGGCCATTCCATCGCTCTTGGCTCTGTAGAAAACACGCGCACCAAGAGGGTACTTCACTCCAAGGAAGGGTTCACCTGTGCAAACCTCCCAACGGGTTTTACCAGTCTTGAGTTCCTCAATCTCCGTCCCACGCTCATGCTTGCGAATCACACAAGGCGACCAAAAGGCACGAGCTTTTGCGGTATAAACAACGGAGATCGGCCACATCTTCTTGTTGAAGCCGGCCTGGAGATGTGCGGGTCTGCACAATTCCTTCAAAGCACGCACTTCACGCTCGACGTGCGCCGCGTGAGGCCAATCCCTGGGGATGCTCGGAGACACTGTCCAGCACAATCTGGATGCCGCTCCTGTCAACTCACCTGCAGCATCTGATTTAAAAATGACGCCAGTATCCCCGTTCAGCCTATGGCCACCGAAGTGTTTAAGTGAGTTGTAACAGGACTCTTCTGTTCTGTCTCTGGCCGGATAGGCCATGCTCAGACCGGAGAAGAGATCAACGATCACCAGTGCCACCTTCTCTCCAGCGTTGCTCACGCTTTCCTCTGACGGAAACATGTGGTCGGCTTCGAGCACACGGCCGAATGCAGCCGAGCGCTCGTACGCTTCGTCACTAGGCTCAGGTCGAACCCCGTGAGCGTATCTTTTCAACATTCGACCACGCACGCAATGTTCACAAAAAGGGTTCTTTCTTGCATGGGTCGTGATGTGGTCCAGGCTCTTTGCCTCACGTTTCAATCTAGCATCTCTCGACTCTGCTAGTTCAGCTTCGTCGTCCGCGGGAGCGAGGTCATCTTCAAGCTCGGCGGGAGTTGCAAAGGTATCAATGGTTTCAATGACCAACGGTCCACGATAGACCTGTTCCCTTGGCTCCTTCTCTACATGCTCCTGTGCAACCACGCAAACTGCTGCCTCACAAACGGGCATGGCGGGCACCTCCTTGAAAACAAGGTCAGGAAACAAAGAAGAGAAGACGATCTCACACATGATCTCTGGGTATCTTGCAGTTGTGCTCGTATTGGAACCCGTGATGGGTGCATGTTTAAAGTCGGTACCATGCTTGCATCGACACTCGTTCAAGTTCTTCGCGAGGTTCTCATTTGTTGTTGCCACTCGCCACTTCTTGAGGAACGGCGTGCCCTGCCGATCAACAAGTCCAACCGCACAACCATCAAAATTCACCACCGTCATGCCAATGTCTCGGATGAGCTGGCACAATGCAGCCTGCCTCCAACCCAATGCATGTCTGGGCCACTCAAAATGAACATCCCCACCATGCTCAACAATGCACTTAGCAAGCTCGCAAAAACGATCAAGCAGCTTCAACGACAAGTCTCTCGACTTGGCCAACTTCTTTCTGAACTCTGCCCCATAGCGGTGCGCATTGAGGTACTGCCATTGGCTCCACGGGCCACAAGGAAGGCTAGCCCACAAATCAATGCCTGGGTGTTCACGAATGAAGTTCTTCAGGTGCGACGTGGTGCTTTCATACTCTAGATTGTTCACCTCCTTGGTACAACTTGTGACCTTGACATTCAACCTCTCACCTACAACCCCTAGGTTGGAGTCCGGCTCGGTGCACAACTCAATGAGCATGCCATGGCCTTTGAGGCCAGTCTGCCTTGAATGCTGCTTCACGGTGCTTGCAGTCAAACAGGTTGGGTCAGTCTGC